ATATATACATGAAAGAAGCTAATGAGGAGAGAGGTGAGGATCATCACCACGTAAGGTTAGGAGCATCTCTTCTTTGCCATAACGAATGATAGTCATGGTACTATAGTCATCCGCATATAAAGCATACCAAATATTAGGATTCAAAGTCTTGAAGTCTGGCCTCAAGGAATTATGACGAAAGTCTATAATAGCCCACTCTGAGAGAGGGATTTGTTTGTACCTGCCAGTTGGCATAAAACGGCTGACATGATCACCCATTCTCCGACCCTCTCGCATTAACTCTACTCCCCATTTGAGCCAACCATTGATATAAAAGTCAAGAAAGCCAGATGAACCGAATACTTTACCAACGTCAGGACTAATTGTATGTCCCCCCGGAATGGCTGTGCTTGCAGCCAACATCCACGCTTTCTGCCATGCTCGCTCAATCAGTCGGAGGTTTGTTCCATGGCTAAGAGATTTGCGTAATTCTGAAGGTCGCATGCGTTCGATGCTGGTTTGCAAAAAAGCTTCAAAGCTTCCATTTGATGTTTCCAAATCTAACGGTGCGGTATACAGGCGCTGGCCCATAATTATTCGGACAATTGGTGCTGCAAACTGTAAACGGCTTCTGCCCGAATATGTTACCAAGCCAGAACGTGTGAGCCTTCTAAGAGCTTCCTGCATCTCAGCTGTCTTTGTATCTACAACAAAGGTTGAATCGTCATCAAGTGTATCATATGCCGTTTTCAGAAATTGGGTATCAAATGGAGTCGGTTGCCACTTTGTCATCCAATCAAACACTCGCGTTCTTTGTATCTCAAGGAAATAATCATATGAAACTATAGAACGTCGTAGATCGTCATCTCTGTCACCCCGTAGATACTGCCGTTGAAGGTATTCCAAGGTCCGTCTTACTAAGTGAGGGTGTCCACGAGTTGAATTGTAGACAGATTCGAGTAGATCATTGGGTATATCGAAAGGCTCTTCTTCATCACCAATATATTCAGTGAATTTTCTTGTTAGTTCTTTAAATTCATCTTCTGTTAGGCGTAATTCGTCCAATCCCATTGGATTAAT